CGGAGAACCTAACGGGTAACCGGGGCTCCGGCTCGACGTGCAGGAGAAGGAACGGGGTGGTTTTTAGTCAGTAAGAGTCTGACACTCCCTCCCGCCTCACCCAGGCGGGGGCAGTCATTCGATGATTTTCCCCCCTTAAAAAAAAAAAAAAGGCCTCGATCTATGGCTACGATAAAATAGCTATGGTATCTGAAATACTCAAATACTTGTATTTTATACGTAGCTAAGTCATATAATTATGCACTTCATATATCAACTTCGGGATGATTAATTACTTATTAATAAAAACTTTGAATAGGCAAAAATGTTGAAAAAATAAATGCAAACACGACCTAATCTCATAAATACTCAATTAACTAGCACATAAATCTAGCCATAAGGCTAGAAGATATAAATCTTCTATGTATTTTTTCACAGTACTTCGACGACGCCTACCGTTCAAGTCTGTCCTGTATCCTAGTGGACAATATCGAGCGTCTACTGGACTACGGTCCCATTGGTCCGCGCTACTCCAACTTGACGCTGCAAGCGTTGCTCGTTTTGTTGAAGAAACAACCGCCCAAGGGAAGGAAACTGCTCATCCTTTGCACCAGCAGTCGAAGGTAATAATAATAAGAATTGTTATTTTATTTTATCTAATTTCAAAGTTACTTTAAACATTACTGTACTGTATGAATGTTCGGTCTTAAATATAAGGATCAAATGGTCTCGGAGTCTTATTCCGAGGTCGGGCTAAATATTGATAGAGTAATAGTACGATTTCTGGAATTGTGCCCAGTGCACGACAATAGGCTCATCCCTTATTACATGCAGTAGCGTAACTACAGGATGGCAAATCCGCAAAATGCCACGGGCTTCCAACCGAAGGGGTTTCTCCTGTTCAGAGGTTTTCATCTGAAGTTCTCTGTTTTTTATTGGGAACGGGGGCCAATCCGATGAAGCCCGAAGGACCCTGAATGGTATAGTTATGCCATTGAATACTTATAGTCGTTAAATAAGTGGTGTAAAATGGGTCTCCCTGATTTGTATATGTCTAACTAGCGACTAAATGTCCGTTAGGTATTAAAGCATATCATTACTTTGTAAGCAGCCATTCGTTAATCACCATTTACAAATCTCCACAGACAAGTATTGGAAGACATGGAGATGCTGTCAGCATTCACAGGCGTGCTCCACGTTCCCAACCTGTCTCAGCCGGAACATGTCATGTCAGTACTTGAAGAGAGTGACGCTTTCTCCAAGAAGGATCTGCTCAAGATCCAACAGGATATCCGTGGAGCTAGGTAAGTTATCCTGTTATACAAGCATGGGCCTTTATGTTTAGTCTATTTTTACGTTTGGTCTAAGGTGGCAGCCATCGGATCGTGAAGCCGCCATTGAACTGCATAGTGTGCAAAAAATACATGAACCTGTTTCTGACGCAGTTGGATAAAATAAAATGGTTTAGTTCGTAAATGCGTCAAAATCTGCAATTTTCCTAACATCTTTATTCCAGTATAAGGAGTAAAGAAATAAAGAAGTACTGGTTAGTAGTTAGTGTTGCAGTAAATGATACCTTATTGCAAAGTGTTAGAGTCTGATAGATGGATATTGGACATGAAGCTTGTTTTGTCCATTAGACCTTCCCGTTTAAAGCAACTGCGGAGGTTCCTGAGCAATGCTCCTCAGCCTACCCCTGAACAAATTGCCTTGTCTACAGCTACCCCAAGGTTCGACCTCCTTTGTAACATCCTTTTCACATCATCTGTAGACTTGGAGTTTTATTAGGTAGTTCACATTGTAATGCTAATGTTGCTATTTTTCAAAATGTTTGTTTTTTTTTCTACTTGGAAGTCTTTTCTCTTTCTTAAAATGAATGAGGAATTGTTCTGAAGTGAGGTATGTAGATTTCTTTTAAACATTAGCCAATGCTAAATTAAGAGCCTGTCCTATCCTCTCCTTATAGTGTGAAACGTAACGTAAAACCAGGTATGACGGAAGGTAGACAATATTGTTTTCATACAAAATCACTCCTCAACAACTTCTCTTGGTATACAAACAAATTTTGAAGAAAATCTTCATATTACAGTTGTCATAATGGTTCTTTCTTTCCCAGAATCTTCATTGGCATCAAGAAGCTGCTAGCGCTAATCGACATGGTGAAGCAAACGGACGAGGAGTACAGAGTGTTCAAGTTCCTCACGAAGATGCAGGAGGAGGGCGGACTGGACCTGGGCACCAATGTACAATAAGAATCATTGCAACCTTAGGGACAATACGCGCATACCACACTATCGCCCTCACCCGACCACACTAATGCACATATCTGTACATCTAAAACACCTAATATCAAAGTCACGGAAAGCTCACCTTGCGTTTCCGATCTTAGAAGTTATGAAATCGATTATGACGAAATCAGCGAGTGCACCGAGTCGTTACTCGATACTAGTCATCATAAGAAAGGTATGACTGCCAGAGGCAACGAAATCTCACCGTCTAAAATGCCTCTCATGAGGATTAGGAGTGTAGAAATTGTTTTCGAAGATGAAATGTCCACTTGTACAGACACCGGTATTTTAGATAGGAGCATCGAGTTGATAGTGTCTGATAGCAGTGACGATTCCACAAAGTGTGTGGATGATTTAGAAGGTCTGAACATTGAGAAGGATGCAAACTACGACTCTGTGACCCTAAACGCTGACGGAGAGCTATCAGATGATAATTCTGTTTCATTAACCAAAGACATCGTCGAAGATGTTCCTAAAGTCGATATTCCCTTAATAAATTTCCAAGACGTTGATGAACCTTCTCATGTACAAACTGATAGTGCCACATTACCAATCGATGAAACCTTGTCGCCAAACGTGTCCGAAATTGGTGATTCAGGTCGTTACACCGAAGAAGCTTCCTCATCTCATTTTGAGACGATTCCCATCGAAGACGCTTTACTTTCGAGCTCAATTGACGCTATCACTATTGTAAAGACACCGACGTTAATGAGCTCGTACGAAATATCTGATGTTTGTAGTATCGCCGCCGAGACGTCGAGACTGTACGAATATATCGATAGTAACAGCGACAGTTCTGACGACTCTGACAACACAGCGACGTGCGATATGGACCATGCTATTCAACATCTCACCAGCTTCAGTAGTAACTTATCGTCAGACGATAACACCGTGGGCGACAGTTACGACCTGCAGTACGATTCTTTCATAGACATGGGCAAATTTTAATACTACCTATATTCCAAACATGTTTAAAACTTTTTAATTATCTAATTGTGCTTATCTATCGATGTTTCTATAACGCTCTAAGGATTTTAACATGTAACACGTGTAATGCAGATTACTGTTTGACGTTGCGTCTTAGTTTAAATGGTTATTATTTATGAGTTATTTAAAACCAACACATTCCAAGTGAATTATCGAAGGATTTGATTAAGTAAGTCCTGTTTTAGTAACGTACGCCAGTACAGCGTGGTGAAGTTTTAGTGTGAGCTATTCTGACACCTTATATACCTTCTCAACACAGCTTGTGCACAGAGGGGCTCGGTGGTATGCGGCTCTCGTAACCATGTCATGTCTCTGTACACTTGTTATAGTTTAATTACTCTGTAGTGTTTTTGTAAATATTACGTAGTCTCCATAGCGCGTGCAATCTAGTATGTATACAGTCTTAGATGAACAATGACATGGTTACAGGTATCCCTGGGTTGTAAGTCTAGGCAATAGCTCAATTATCTACAATGTATTATATTATTTTTATAGAGTTTTTATTTATTTTCAATTTGTCATTGAAATGTGATGCAGCTTGATGCTGTCTATTGTGTTAATACTTAAATAGGGATATTTTGATCAATGTGTAATATCGATAGCTGTAAGGGAATGATATTGATAATGTCAATAAATATGTAGTATTATGAAATATTTGAGGAATATTGTTGTTATAATTCAGTAGCCCTCGAAGCTTTGACTTGGAGCATTAGTACAATTAAAGTATAAGTACTTATCTGCACATGTAGTAAATTTTATGGTCAATTATGAACACTACTAAGAGTATTCAACCTAATTGGATTGTTAACAAGATTCTTATCAGACATGTCGAGAGTGCACCTCTACATAATGTTATGTAGGTGGTAAATATTTAAATATACAAGTTACGTTATAATGCGTGCGTAATATAAAAAAAAAAATGAATGTTGCGATCATTGTCGATTTTAAAAAGTATCTCTATATTTAACGAACCATAGCTATAATATTGTTGCAATACATTTGTAGTAATTTATTGTTACATTCTACTGGTTAGATGCATTGTTATTGTCTTTTGAAGTAAGATAAAACATTCCACTCATGCATTCAAAACTGGATCGGTGTAGTACTGTATTTTAGAAAGTATGTATACATAATCTCAATTATATTATTGATAAATTGTGGAAAAAGTTATTAAAATCTTGATAAAGCTTTTAGGTCATGAACTAGTATTATGGCTTCTAAATAATAATATACTAACCGCCATTATATATTTACTTCTTTGTAAAAAATATAATTGAATTATGTGGAATTGTAAACTATTGATACATGGGGCATAGCTCCTGAATAAAATGTTCTGGCAAATGAATGTATGATTTGTTACTTATTATAATGATTGTTTATTACTTTTGAAGTTGTCTATGAGCATTGACTTCAAGGACTTGTAGTTTCTGAAATATTGTAATGCTTATAAGATGTAATAGTTATACATTCTCATAAGATGTAATATACTTGTGTGTTCCTTTAGGTTTGAATTATTCTAACGGTTACAAGTTGCTTGTTTTTAAAATTGTTTATTGTTACCTACACATAGAACATTGTTGTAAAACGAATATCTTCCAAACTTGTTTGATACTTTATGAAACATAGTTTCTCTGTATGTTTAATTATGAATAAGGTTTGCACTTATGGAACATTTCTTTCAGTGGCTATGTCACATTATCCTGTAAGCTTTATTGTTGGTAAAATAAAGTAATTGACAAACTAAAGTTGTTCTTTCAGAATTTATTTCCATACCGTTGATGTTACATTACAGTATTATCCACGTCATATTTCACAAAGTAAAAATATGCATTTACATATAAAATTAAATGTATATAGATACTGGTCACATAAAATTAAGCTTGAAATGTCTAGTAGACCAAAAACATTGGTGAGATTAAAAATATTTATAACTTAAGATAACCAATGGCATAAAACTAATTGGCGCTCTCACAAGCATCCACCCAGTCATTGTAAACATCAATGGGCTCGGATAACACGTTTGTAGTAGTCTGGAAGTCTTCTAAACAAACTCGACATTGTATCCGAGCCGTGTTCCTGGCTCGATCCCTGAAAAAATGACACGATGTAGCGATTCACAGATGGAGGGTACGTTGTAATGTAATCCGCCTGATTACTCACATTTTTACCTCACACGACTTCTCGTGATTGCAAAATGGGCAATTGAACTGTTGATCCAATGGCTCAATAGCTTTTCTCTTTGGCGGAGGCTTTCTTTTCGATTTTCGGCGACCCATGTCTGAAAACTGAACAAAGTATAACAATATTATGCTTATTTATACTATACGAAATCACTTTACAAGGATCGCAATCACATGATTACTTTACTTTTTGATTATTTCAACTAATATTTGAAATACTTACTTGGTTATTTGTAGATTACTGCGAGAAGTGCGAAACCGAAATCTATTTTGTTGTATTGGAAATGGCACAAGCTGACTGCTGACAAGCACAACCCAAAACACTACTAGTAATGTCAAGTTTTGACAATATTGTTGTCATGTGTCATTCAGTTCTGAATCTTGCAAATACCTACAAAAATGTGATTTATCGAAACAGACTCATAGAAAATAAACCATTTTTAATGATTTTTAAATAGGACATAAATTAAATAATCTATCTATCAATAATTAAATAATATGCATTGCATATTATCAAATGATTAATTACTGAAATGATTTTGGTGTTGGAAAGTAAGCTTGAGCCAGCATGGCTGAATGAACTATGTCAGGTTTTCTAGTTCTTTTTTGGTTCTTTTAATCATCCATGTTCATAATTATGAAAAGTGACAAATAATGATTTTGTCAGGTATAGTATAAGCCTTATTAGAACATCCAATTTCAAGGGAGCCTAACTAAGAGTGGTGTAATAAGATTTAAGGAGTGTCCCCCCGATCTGCCTAGCTCCCTAAGCGCCCTGCAGATTGTAGTGTAATAATGTTTAGGGCGGTTATGGAGCTGCCGTATCTTGTTTTTTTATGTAAGGTGTCATCTAACTCAATAGGTAAGTTTTCAAATTGTCTGCACCTACTCTGAGATAATTCCTTAAATTTTCCGGTTCAAGCACGCTTAGTATTTGCATATTTTAAACCTTTTCACGTAACTGTAAATACTCTTTCAACCAAAACTTTCTCTTTTTAAACTTAGTTATTGCGAGCATGGTTGTCATTGATACAGCAACTTTAGTTTCAATACTGACGACGGTATAATATAAAATGCGAAACTACGTTTATCTCTCTAGACATTCGCATATAAACTGAGTTAGGGCCCAATCGCAGAGAAGTGTAATAAACGTATACGCCCACCCTGGATGCAGGCCCTTAAGCCCTTCATATCGGGTTGGGTAATTAGCGTCTATGTTGTTGGTTAAAATAATAATCTATTGGGTGTTTATTCAGTCAGTATGATGTAGTAACTGGCAACACAGTTACATACGGCACAGCTTTTCGGACTGTCTGATTGCTTGTCAAAAAGTTTGGTTTCTCAAAGCAAGTGATTGTTCAAACTATTAATTTAAATGTATTCGTAAATAAAATTACCTTGCAATAATGACTCGGAATTTTGTAATTGGGGCTGTGATAGCTGTGCTATCACTAGGTGGTAAGTAGTAGCATACATTTAAATTTTCATTTATCGTTAGTGGTAACGCCCAATGCATAACGTATTTATTGACTATTGTGTTGTTTTAGTTACTACAGTTATTGCTGATTGTATGATACCATTAGTGCTGAGGAACACTTGGTTTTCCTTCGAAAATGGCAAGCAAACTATTACAGATATCAATGCAAGTGAAATGACTGGAAGGTAATGTTTACTGATTAATTTATCGTCTAATTATGACTCATTTAAATAGTTTTAAATATAAAAAAATACCGGTTATTGACACTTTCATAAATCATATTCCAATATCCAATAATTTAATAAAGCTGTAACATAAATTTCAAGTTAATGTTTACAAAACTATTGTGGACTTACCTACGACCTACCTTAGGTACTTATTTCTTCCCGCATTTTTTGCAGGGGTGTATGCGTGGACATTAAGGCTGAATACAGGGTGAACTATACAATGGTATTTTCATACACAAAATGTTATTACTGTGTCAAGCTGATTGTGAGGACAGTAAATGTGTTAGAGAAGATTGAATCTCCTTGTGTGAACTTGGGCCCTGATGAGCAGCCTACTGTCGATAGAGTGTGTCGAGGTCTAAATCCTGATCAGCAGGGACTGATCACATTGTTCTCTGAAAATTATGTGCCTGTAAGTTTCTAAGAGTTTATAAAAAATTGTTAGTAAAATCTTTTAATCTAATTAATTGTCGGAATCTTAAATGAAACTTATTGCAATTTATTGAATGGTTATATAGGTTTAGTTTTAAAATTTTATGCAAGGCTTAAATATAAAAAAAGATCAATCTTATTTTACTGTACCTAATTTACAAATCTTTGTCAAGAATCTCATTAGAGTAAATATGTTCCTTGGTCAATAATAGTTCTAATTAGAATTTGTAGATAACCCATTTCATATTCTTACTCTACTTTCAGGTCAATTGCCGTTCATCTCTAGAAGGAGTTTGGCAGTTTGCATATCAGAATAGGTTCCGATTCACAGGAGAATGCAACCACCCTGATGCACAGATCAAATCTTGTCAAACCGCAGGAACACAGTTCTTGATAACCAATCAGAAGTTTAACATTACTTATAGGAAATGTGCTGGAATGTCCAACACTTTTGATGGTGTTGTGGAGTATAGTTGCTTGGGTAAGCATTTTATGTTTTACATTGTGTCAGATAGGCATTGAAATATTGTGTGCTAATGTGGCACTTACAATAGACAATATTTGGTGAAACATAATTTTAATTTAGATACCTAAAGTTAAATGTTTTTTTACTCCTTGAATGAAGCCAGGGAGTGTACAACACAATACAATGTAATACTTATTTTTATCATAGATGTGTTATAGTTCCCATGGAATTAGGGGTGAAGCTTGTAGGTTTTATTAACAATTTTCTTAAGTTAAATAACATCATATAATAAAAAAAAATAAAAAATGATGATGAGTAGTACACATAGTAGCATGGAGTCTGAAATGTATATGGCAATAGGCTCACCCCCTATTACAGGGGACTCATAACATAAATAGTGAAAAGTGGGTGTTACATTGTACAGTGGCATAATATTCACCTCTGCCTACCCCTTCAGGGATAAAAGGCGTGGTGCTATGTTATGTATGTGAATATCATCATGTTCTCGATTTCTAAATTTTATTAAGTTTCTTATCAATGATTTATTGCAGGTCATTGGTTTGTCAACAAAAATCACTTCTTTGCTGTTGCAAACACAAAGGAATCCCGTAAAGATGAGAGGTACCGCTGTTTCCTCAAGAACAGAGATGATGATCTGTACATTGGGGCCTCTATTACACCAGAATGTAACACATTGAAGACTGTTGAGAAGTCCCCTGAGAGATATAGAGTTACACCTGTTAAGGTAGTTTGAAGTTATTTATTTGTTGGGTTTAACAAAAATTTTTACATATAAAACTAAAACTTCAGCTTCAATCTAAGATATACATGTAATACAATTTAAGTACTGAAGTAAATACAGCCGATAAGTTTAAATAAGTTATTAATTTTCTTTTATAATTTCTCCCGTAGGCTGAAGTGGTAGAACCAGGTTGTCGCTTACCACAAAACTTCTCTGGAGAATGGATCAACACTGCCAATATTGATGCAGACGTATTCATCAATGAAACTCACATTATAGAGACTTACTACCCTGACGAAGGAAGATTCAGAAGAACTATTTATGTCTGCAGGTAAATTGCACATTTGGTGAAAAAAACAAAGAAGTTGTTTTATATGAAAATGAAATTTTAACACTTATCGTTTTTCATAGGGAGCAGCGTGACAGTAGAGTGATGATGGCTCGCCTCACAGTTGATGGTTGTCAAAAGGATTATGTGTGCTTTGACTTTGTACCACAACATCATAATATTATAAGGTAATCATTTATCTTCTACTATAGATAATTCATATTACTGTTACAATCAAAATGGTGTTATAAGTGCTTATGAATGTGTTTTATTTCAGATACCGAAAAGGTTTAGCCATGATCCAGAGTAACTTCCACACAGTATGCTCTTGGGTCCAGTTCCCCAATAAACAAGAATGGCGATACGATATCTTTCTTAAAAAGGATCCATCGCCAATTCGTTGCCCAGTCGCAGGCAAATTCAATTTCACACAAAAAGGTGATGTTAGATTCGAAACAAGGATTTTGGGAGGTGTTACTTTAAGTCCGAGACCAAACTTGTACTGCAAACTAAATATCAGTGATTTCTCAGTTTGTGATATTGATCAGAAAACTATACAAATTAAGGAAAATTACTGTCTATCTGTGGACTACTTGGGTAGACCAGTTGATATCTACAGTGATCCCGATTACAGAATGAAATGCATAGGATTTTGGAAGGAGAATTTGAAGTCCTATCTGATTACTTATGACGAACTTGACCCTTTTTCGAAGTATAGATGTTGGGTGTATCAGCGGGCCGATCTTAACCGGTAATTATAATTGTATTAGTGTTACTGTTCACTCACTGATTTTTACAAAAAATAAACAGACACAAATAAAAGTGTTGTCTCAAATCTTTGTACTTAATTTATTACTTTATTTTTTCAGAGTACTGATGTCTCAAGCTTTAGGCCCATACTGTGATTTGAAGCAGGATGTGACATCGTGGAATTACACTGAAGGCGCAGCTGTCGCCGTTGAGATGGAAGAATACGAGAGAGAACGCGACCAGTGCCCTATGCACTTCGACGATGGCAGCGACCCTTGGTCTACAAAAGAAAACTATATCAAAGTGTTCAGTTTCTCATTTTGGGGCAGTAATTCTGCACAAACAATTGTAATTAATTCTGCTGTGTTATTTATGGTAGCTTTATTTACATTAATACTGTAATTAATAAGTACATAGACTGATGTAGATTACAAATAGGTTGTCCATATTGTTTGTGTCTTGACCTCATTTTCATGAGAAGTGATGATCCATTGCTTTGATCTGATCTGTTGTAGAAAAGCTTCTTAATTTTAATATTGAACCTGATTTTATTTTATATTTTTAATTCTATTGCTAAGAGAGCAGCTATATTTTTTTCTAGTTGCAATGTTCAGTGAACTATTCCGTCCAATTTTGTTCCAGTGCCGTTTTTGTACTCTTTGATAAATAATGATGAATCTAAGAAGAATCCATGTGCCTTGTATAAGTTGTAGATGTTTTTGGGCACTGTTACATGTTTGTGTTAGATCTGACTGTAATTTCGAATTCTTGTACTCTTGTTTTTTTGAGATAGTAATTTAACATCATCAAGAAATGTTTAAGATTAATCTCAGTGCTATGTATCTCATGTTTACAAATACTTTTGGTTTGTTACAATCAGTACTTTATAGTACCTAATACTAATGCATTTAGTGCCTTAAGATTAATAATTTTATGTATGTAAATATCTAGTTGTATGTATTGTCCAATTCATGATGACATCTAATTAATACGTTTTAAGTTAAAGTATAAATAATTTTATATCTCTTATTGTTTGTATCAGTAACATGTCGTTACCTCTCTGTAATAAAGTCCGTCCAAAAGAAGAAATTAGAATACACATTTTTATATTTTTATTTAGACATCTAAATAAAGTGTTATAACTAAATGAAGAGTTTTATTCCCTAAATACTAAAATAATAACCTAAAATATTTTCGAAATTACATTCGAAAATATCCCACTCACCCAAAATTAATTCGTCTTTTTATTCAAAATACAAATTCAAATTTCATTTATTCTTTTCATTCACATTCTTAAATTTTTAACTGGCAACAACTGGACTTAGTCTATTTACTAAATTTTAAGTCTCCACAGAGCTACTACCACAGAATACTACCCCTTTTGGAAATATGCTATTACATTATAAGCTATGGCTGAATGGATTAAGGGGGTATAAAAGAAAATTCACTTTTTTTAAATTAATTGTATATTCAAATAACTTGCATCTAATACATAAATGTAAAAACATCGTAGACAAGGTTAAGTTTGACTTCAACACAATTACCACCTCTTAATAATTGCAGCCGTAATAACATTATTTCTTAACTAACTATTTAGTAAATAAAATGAACTACAGTAAAATGGGGTGAATAGGGTTTCAGCGGCGAAAAGGGACAGAAGAGGGGTGAATAGATATAAGGAAATTCTTCATAGTATCGATTCACCCCTCTTCTGTCTCTATTCACCACACAATCCCTATTCACCCCATTTTACGGTACATACTTTGTTATGAATGTGGAAAAAAATGTAAACCATTTAGTTTTGTATTTTCTAATTAGTACATGGGATTGCAATCAATGCATGGCCCTTGTTCTGCCAGAGTTTAGATAAAAGTAAAACACAACAAAACCCTTTGTAGTGGTCTATGCCACGGATGAGTAGTTACAGAGTAGAGTTATCCGTATACTTTAACATATTATTTAGAATAACAACCTTATTACTTAGTCCAAGATACTTTAGGTATATCAAAGTGTTCAGTAAGATTGTCTAGACGCTGGTTGAATTTCTCCACTCTCTGCTTGTGAGTCATCTCAGCCTTTTGTTGAATCCTTTGCCTTTGCTGTAAAAGATTAAAACTAATTAGTCACTTTTTAAAAACAATGACAAACCCTAAGACGACCAACTCACTTAAATTGAAAATAAAACTGATATTTGAAGAATTACAGAATGTTTTGCTAGAGAAATAATATTAACGAACATGACTGCTCCTAGGTAAAGTATTAACTAGTTGTGGAACTTTGAAATTAAAGCGACAATTCCATAAAAATGCATATTATGTTGCTGGTCCACAATCTTATAGGATGTATATCAAGTAATCTCATTTTAATATAGACTGTGGCATATGGCACAGATGCTCTTCGAATTACTACATTGGCGTTTAGAAAAAATTATTATAACTGTGCCATAAAAAGATATTCATAGCAAGTAAATTACGGACTAAGTAGTCTAATTACAGACCATTTTCTCCTGCATCTTCTGAAATGCCATCTCAGTCTTTGTTTTGGTGTTTACAACAGTATTTGTAGTTTGTTGTTGTTTAACATCGTTTTCAATCAGCTTTTCTTTTTCTTTACTCGACTTCTTCTTCTTTTTCTTTTTGATTCCAGACGTGTCCTTGATTTTCAGTTGTGATCTGTTAACACAAGCATATTCGTCTTCTTCACCCATCCTGTACGGGTTTATTTAGTTTCAGCTGCTGCAACTACGTAATGCCCGTGGTCGTAATGGTGCAATGCCAATAAACGAAATCGAACGTCTGTTAGCTGTCAACTGTCAGTTATTGTCACTGTCTGATTTGAAGTCTGACGTTTTGGGTGTGACCATTTAAGCAATGCTTCAATAGTGATGCAGCCATTATCGACCTCTGTCGTCAACATCAACAGTTATCGGTTTTTATAGTAATCAATCAGTTATCTATCTAGCTAAACTTATCATTTGGTTAAGATACCATTCTAAAAAAATATTTTATTATAGTATTTGCGCTTTGTAGGCACTATTCGCATCGCACGTGCCACCCGATCACCCGAAGACAAATACCTCTTCGAGAATTTCTTTTAAATTTGGTATTGATCATTATCAACATAACATATTTAGCAGTGAATCCTGGGAAATGTCAGGCCATTCTTATAGGTGGCCCCCGCACGTTGAATGGAGTTGACATGGCTTCCTTGCCGGCCGTAGTTTTCGATGGAGCAGTAATCCCGTATAGTGATGAGGTGAAAAACCTGGGACTGCATATGGATAAAAATTTGAAGTGGCATGCTCAGGTCACCAGTGTGTGCAAAAAAGTTACTGGATCTTTGCGAGTTTTGTATCGTGCGAAAAACTTACTTCC